AAAGCATATAATAGCATGAAAAACTAGCAGACCTAGCAATACATAGCAAAAACTAGCATATTTTTGTTGCTGGTATCAGCATGAATTTTGACTTGGGTTAAAATTCAAATAATGGTTATATTCTGCTAATTTATTACAAAAAAAAATAAAAAAATTATTGCATCATACAAAAAATATTAAAAGACTTTCAACAAAAAACTTAATAAAAATGATAAGTGTTGCATACAGATAATATAATGAGAAAGGAAAATCGTTTTAGAATAATCTCATAAAGAGGTTGAGCTTTTGCACATTTATCACCCGATAAAGACAGTAATAAGGCACGTGTTTCGTGGAATTAGATCAGTGATAATTATATACAGTCAATGCTCGAAAGATGTGACTTCTGTAGTCTAAAACTAAATGAACGTTATAATGTGACAAAACTAGAGGAAATATTAAACGCATTTGGACTAAGATATTGTGACATCCCTTTCTTTGCGAGGCGGTTTTATTTCGGTTCATTCATTTAGAAACTCTTAATGATGACAAGGACTTTTCATAATATATATATTTATTTTAGGATTCTTGATTATAGTATATATACTTAAAATTAAATATTAAAATATACAAGTGCTACATACAACTACAAATTCTGGAGCTCCCTTCTCTTCTATACTCTCTCAGCATCCACTCTCTATTCTCTCTGCACACAATCTATATTAAAAATCCCTTTTTCTCACCAAAAAAAAGTCCTTTGCTTCACCTTATTCCACCCCCACTCTAGGGGAACGACACGTCCTGTGTCTCTCAGGTCAGGGGTCAATCAAATGCGTGGGAGAGGAATCAGAATCCGGACAGATATCATTCATCCAACCACTTTTTTCAAAAACAAGATTGTGAAGAGAATTCCAAGATTAAAGCAAAAACAAAAAGAATTTGAAAAATATGTATTTTGACTCCAAAGTAAACCACCTATTATGAAATTACACACACAAAAAAAGATAATACAGTTTTCAAACAGGAAAAATATGTTTGATGAATTTATTGAACTTTTTGTGTAGAAATTTATAAAGGTTATGAATGCATACACAAGACTCTGATTTCTATAAGAGAAAACAATACAGAACTATATAAGCAATCAATATTTCACCTTCTTTTTAACCATAAGTTGTGCCTTGGACCACCTAAGATGAAAATAGGTGAACCTGTTATTCTTTCTTTATCATGTTTCACAAATAGTGGTTTGAATAATTTTCTAGAGACTTTACTACCCATTGATTAATTGCCAATAGAAAAAGTTTTTTTTTGAAATTACAAGAATGTTTAATACCTTCTTCTAGAATAATTTCCTTGAAATTAATAAAATTTAGTAAAAAAAATCAGCCGCTATATTGGAATGAAAGGTTCAGTTGGAGTGTGAAAATAATACTGCGTCTAAGGTATAGCAAACGGGACTTTATTTTGGTCATTAAAAATGGAAGAATCACAGCAACAGAGGTTGTTCTAAGGAGCGTAGACTGTATATAAATACATAAAAATAGAACATAACACTGTAGAGTAAAATTAAATTTTTACATTAAAGTTAAGTGGAACTGAATTTATATTCTTAAATAACTAGGAAGTAATTATCATGGAAGATTTTATTTCAATCATTTATTAATTTTTTTTAAAAATTTAACTTATCTCTATAAAACACACCCACTAGTAGTAATAACAGGGTATCTGCTACATTTTAGATTTTCAAATTCATAACTTTTCATGTCTAATTCCAAGAACTTTTCATGACTTAACAAAGTTACTATTTTCTCCAACAAAACCAGAATAATAAATTTAAAAAGCATTATTATAACATTAATTAAAATGATAGGTACTCTGCATCTTCATATTTATAGATTTCAAATTTAAAAAACAGAGTAAAGAAAGAGTTGAAGCAATAAAATAGCTGAAAAAATAATAGCAGAGCAGATAATTTTCTTTTCTTTTTTTCTGCAGAATTATATTCTATAAATACTTTTCTTGTTCATCAGAAAGGAAAGAAATACTCCTGATTTTTCTGTTCTCATTTCAGAATTAAAAAAATTTGCCAATGACTGGCTTGCTTCAGCTAGAATTTTAAATTGATAAAATAAAAAAAAAGATTAATAATAATAATTATGAAATCACATAAGTTTAAAAGATACTTCACTCTAGAAATGATGTTTTTTCTTTCATTTTTCGAAAGAACACCATAATTTTAAAAGAAAATAAAAAAAAACTTTTTATATTTTAATAAAATATGACTCAGAGTGAGGATTTTGGTACACATTCAGATATTCGAAACACCATGAAATTGGGGAGAGATTCAATTTTAAAAATAAAATTTTTCGGGGACCTAAATCCATAACTTTCCATGATTTTTTTTAAAAAATAGTTAAATTCAGGAAAAATTTTGTTCAATACCGAAATTCATGACTTTCCAGGTGCGTGGATATCCCGTAATAAGTGAACTTTTTGGAGCACAGAATATTCAGATCAAACGTTTTAAAAAAGGAAACTTTAATGACTTTGTTCGTTATGTTCAGAACTTATATTTATACCTTAAAAATGAATTAAATATTTTTTTTTTGGTCAAACACAATAAATTTTAAAACATGTTTGAAATCAAAGATAGACTGACTCTATCATATCTTTGTTAAACATTTAAAAACTGGAGAAAAAAAACAAAGAACATAATTTAGTAAAAATAAAATATACATCACAAATAAAAAAAAAAGGAACTATTATTAAATAATAAAAATATAACACATCTTTATGAAAAGTACAGCGCACAGAATTAAAAAAAAAAGACCACTCTAAATAGCTTTTGATCTAATGATTGGATATTTACGTTCTAGGACTCAATATTAAAAATTGCAAACATACTAATTAAGTAATGCATATGATATTTTAAGTTACAAAATCAAACAAAAACATACTTTCTCTGAATAAACAAACCCTTTTTTTTATTCGGATTTCTGACCCCCAATATATGTAGCTGCAACCTGGGAAATATGGTTCCAATAGTTTGCACAGGAAAGTGATCCAAATACAATTCAAAGACATTCAACTCAACCTTACAATTAAAACTACACTAGGGAACCGATTATCCGGAATGATCGGGACCATCGCTATTCCGGATAACTGATTTTTCCGGTTTTCTGAATCTCTACAAAAAGCCGTTTTTTTATTGTTAAACCCAACTAAAAAAAAATTTTTTTGGGGGAAATAATCTTAAAAAGAAGAAAAAACGATAATACACTAATGATTATTTCCAAAATGATGGTAAGGTAAACATCTTTCAAAAAAGAAAGAAAATTCCTAAAATCTTATGAGGAAAAAAAATTTTTATTTAAAAAACTGCGGGAAAATTTATCGAATTTCGTTCCGGTTTTTTGGTTTTCCGGTTTTCTGATTTCCGGATAACGGGTTCTGTACTGTATTTTTGATTATTATGAAATAAAGTAATAAATATTTACTGAAGATTATATTTTGTACGGAATTATCATTGGATAAACGAATTTTATAATAGTATGCAAAAAATTTTCAATTGCTTTAAAGAGTTCTTCAGGAACTATTAAGACCATATTTCCCAGATTGCGGCTACTCTCTACATTTTGAGAGTCAGAAATCTATATTGGTTGAAAAAAAGTTATGTTTATTCAGAGAAAGTACATTTTTGTGCCTGATTCATAACTTCAAATATCGTCTACACTACTTAAAATGTTTACCTCCTTGAACCACTAAGATTGAGACCTAGAACGTGAAGATTATTATATCAAAAGTTAATTTCGGTGATCCATTTATTTATTTTTTTGTGCACTGTGCCAAAAATAAAAATAAAGGAATCATTACTGAAATAAATAACAATCAGCATGCAAAATATTACTAGTAACAAATACTTGGCTAAATAACAAGATTACAAACATTATAAAATATTAAACAACTTTCAGTAAGAAAAGTAGAAATTAATTTAATTATAGTTAAACAAAGCCAGTTTAGGTTTTGGTAATTAAATTAAGACAACATCTATAATGTGTATTCATAGCAATCTCAATGAAATGAAAGAACTATAAATTAAAACAATCATGAATACACTAGTAATTTTTTAACTTTTGCAATGAATTTTTCAATTATTTTCAGAGCTTCATAAGTACATATTGATTAGTCAAATACTAAAGTAAAATTTGGTTCAAACAATAAAGGCATTGCATTGGCTGAATTATTCATAAGGCGTTTATAAAGCACTCAATATTCTATATGTGATAGTTGTTTCATAAAAAATGTTAACAAGATCTTTAATGTATCAAGTAAATGATTTCTATCAAGGTCTCCTTATAAGCAGCAAAAAGGTGTTTTAGGATAGAACAAATATTTTTTAATAGTATAATATAATATTTTTTATAAGAATTCTTTATAAATTTACTTAATTTTGCTATTTAAATGGAAAATTTAAAGCTAAACAAAAAATTACTAAAATATTTGACTGTCACTGTTTTAAAATTGAATAGAAAATTTCATATATTATTTAAAAATTGATATATATACCACAATGATTTCTGATTGCATATATTGAGCATTTTATGACCCAGTAGTATAAGATCTAAAAAGCCAAAGAATTCGATCATAAAACAATACACAAAAGTGCACACATAAACAAAACTAAGCATTAAAGCAATGAGCTAAATATATATGTATATATATAAATTAAAAAACAATTTCCTTAACCTTTAAAAAATAAAAATGCAATGTTTACAAAGACAAAAGCATAAAAAACATATAAAGTAAAAGGATTAAATGTTAAAAGGATATGTGATAAATCATTTAAACAGGAAAAAAACTTAAATTAAGATAAGACTGAGATCAAAACTAGATTATTGTTCTATTTTTGGCAAACATAAGCAAAACATAAATAATTATTTAAATACCTGCCAACTAAAAAGAAATGGATTTGAGATTCATTCATTTTAAGTAGTTTTAAAAGTGTCAATTGCTATTTCTTCTTTCTATATGTGGCACAAAGAATCTGCAAGTGTGCCTGTATCGCTGTTGAGATGAGGGCAAATGTCGCACAAATATATGGTCCTTCAGAAATATATGGTACTAAAAATTTTGAATACATTACTATTTTTATAATAAAAATATATTTTTTTACAGGTAAATGAAAGAAAAAAAAACTTTATTTTTTGGATATATGTTATAATTTTAACTCAGACTATTTCTACTTATAATCCAGAAAAAAGAATTTGAAATAAGGAATTGAGTAGCTTTTAATTTTATTTTAATTAGAATGCAAGGACTTTTAAGAAGCATCTAATGTCCGAGGCATTCAAACACTGCTGCAACTTCATTTAACATTATTTCCTTAAACTATGGAGGAAAACTTGATTACAGCAGAGATTTTAGAAATGGAAAAAAAAAACATTTAAACATGCGTTTTCTATTATTTTCCTACAAACCCTTTAATTCTAAGCTACAAACCCTTTAATTCTTTAATCAGCTTTGTAACATAACTAAGCTTTTGTTTCAAACCAAAAACTTAAAAAGAGCACAAGATCAACAATATAATAAGAAAAAAAGGGAGAATTAGGTTGGCAGGTATAAAAGTTTGGATATGCATCAAAACAACCAACAATTACTAAATAATCTTTAATGATAAAGAGATTAGGAGCTTAAAAAAATAATAATGCACCTTTAAATTTATGAAGTAGATTTGAGCATGCATTATGAACACTGTAGGTGATTATCCGCAATGAACACAACATATCAAAGGCAATTTCTTGGCTTGAAATCTCAATCAAACTAATGTCCTGTTAGTATAGCTTTTAGTGGAATCACTCATAGAGTTTGGCGCCAAAGGAGAGGATGGAGTGTCAGTAGCAGAATTGGTATATTCTTCATCACCTTCTTCTTCCATCACAGATAACCTCTTGCAATCTTCAAATTTTGATGCATCTCGCTTGCTGTGCTTTTTCTTTTTGTTGCTGTTACAGAAAATTTATAATTGGTTTTTTTTGTTTAAAATCTACTTTTCAGATGCAATAAACATGCATTTTAAAACTCATAGTATAAAAATTAATACACTATTTATTTTTAATGAATTAGATTTAAAAAGAAGGGACAGAAAAAATGAGAATCGAAAAGAAAAAAATATATTGTGTTTTTTGTTGTGCTATTTTGCTTCAAAATCAATGATTTGGTAAATATATGCATTCAAAATATGCATTTGAAATTTCCATTTGTTAAAAATAAAATTTTATTTTTAAATGAAATAGAATATTTCTTAGCTCCAAAGGTAAAATATATTTCACATTTCTAATGCCTTTTCACTTTTTTACATATTAAAGATAATTTTTGAACTGAATGCCTCTAAAATATGAATGTAAGCAGAAACGTAGAACACATAACTAATAAAGGAAAGTACACAAGTAATAAAGAAAATAATTGTGAATGTTTAGGCACAAAAATTGTTAGTTTAGTGTTTTAATTAAATTATTGAAATTGTAGGTGAAAATTTGATGTGTAAGAGAAATAAAAGAAATTTTTTTTCAGAAATGTAAAAAATATAACACTGCTGGACAATTGCTAAGGACAGATCACAAATTGCAATGTAGCATAACATTAAGTGAGACATGAGGCCTAGTAGGATAAAATGTAGTTGCCACACTGTTCAAACATTAGAATAAAGAATATTCATTGTTCTGGAAAGTACAAAAGCTATGAAACATCTGAAAGAAAAAAAAATGTTCATTTGATGCTGCGTACGGAAAAAAGGAACAATGCATCTAAATGTCAGCAGGCAACTTGAAGAAAGGTGTCAGTACGAGATATGTCCACCATGGAGTGTGATGCAACATTCTACACGTCGTATCATACTTTGCACAACATTATCCAGCAGCTGTTGAGGCAATTTATCCCATTCCTCTGTCAGTGCACGGATGAGGGTGTTCTTGTTTGTCGGAGGATAGTTTCGACCAGCAAGTTGCCTCCCCAAAGCATCTCAAACATTTTCAATGGGATTTAGATCTAGAGAACGTGATGGCCATACGAGGCATTGAATACCCTCGCTGTCTAGACAATCCTGAACAGCGAGTGTTCGATGACATGTTGCGTTGTCGTCCATAAAAACAAATTTATCACTGACAGCACCATGGAAAAGACGAACATGAGGAAGTAGAACTTCATCAATGTATCGTTGGCCCGTCATAGTCCCATTCGCAACCACATGTAGGCGCGCGCGGCCATTGATCATGATGCCGGCCCACACCATACACTGCATGTCGGATATCGGTCCCTTTCCTGGATATTTTCTGGATGATAACCAGCACCACTCTTGCGCCAGATCAGTTGGCGTCTACAATCCGACGACAGACTGGACCTACTCTCATCTGAGAATAGTACGCATGCCCAGTCCTGTTCAGTCCAATTGTGATGCTCACGATACCATTACAAACGGGCAGTACGGTGCTGTCTGGTCAATGAGACACACACAACAGGTCTGCGGGCGTATAGTCCTCCTCCCCTCCCTCAAACGTCGGGCAACCGTTTTTCGGGAGATCTGCTTTCCTGTGGCAGCAAGAAACTGATTTGCCACCTGCTGAGCTGAGGTGCTCCTGTTCCTTTTCACTGATAGGACGATGTATCTGTCTTCTGCAGGCGTCATACTTCTAACACGACCTCCCCCGTGCCGCCTACTACACATTCCAATAGTTTTAAATGATTTCCACAGCCGTGAAACAACGCTGTGAGCGATGTTGAACTCCCTGGCAACATCTGCTATTCTTCGATCTTTTCAATGATTCGGCTACGCTTAAAATCATCTAAGTGATATCTGGAAGACATGACGAAAATTTCAAGTTCGTCATCTAAATCTTTCCTGTAAAACTTTGACTTGAAACAACAACTCTCCACACGCGTCAAAACCTTTAAAGTTCTTATCAGCGCTATCACGTGATGAACAGACGTGGAAAAAAAATTTGCACATGCAGACCTCTTCTTACTATATCCCACACTTATTCTAATTCTCCACATTTTGCTTCCTTTCATTTTGTGGTTGCTATGGATGATAGTGTTATCCGTCCTTAGCAATCGTCCAGCAGTGTATTTGTATATAACATGATTTTAAAAATATTTTCTTTGATCTCACTCCCATCTGAGAAAGTTTCTTCAAACATACTTGGAGCATGCCAATAAGAAGGATTCTTTTTGTTATAAGCAGAATTGTAGAATATGTAGTTGAATTAATTATGAAATCCTTTTTTTTTACTGTTTAAAAATTAAAGATAAATTAAATCAACCAGCTTTATCACAAATTTGGAATGACTTTTATTACATTTGAAAAGGTGTTATGATTTCCATCATTATCCTTCAATATCTCATGTATTATAAAGTTTTAATCCAATAAGACTATAGATAAACTTAAACTATCTAAAAAGGAATATTTCGTGGTCATAAATATTGGTTTTCTTTAATTTTTGGTTCGAAAAGTTTAAGACAAAATATGATGCAATAAAATATTATTTCTGGCTATAAGTGTTTTTCAAGTACTCTAAAATTAACAGTAACAATACAAAAACAGACAAAGTATCTTGCAAATCTGCATAAAACAGAAAACAATTATGTATAAATAGTATAATAAAAATCTACTGACCATTTCACAACTTGTTTGAAGTTTTTTGATGTTTTCTGGGATTGTTGATCTATACATTTCCAAATACTGCTCTGCATCAGGACTTCAGAAATATTAATATTAGCATGGCTATTTTGTCGACTTTTTACAACATTTTCTTGGGATTTTTCTTTTTCTGAATGCTCACTCTGTAAAGAAGGCACACTATCAATCAGGCAAAATATTTAAATGTTAATTTTTTTTTTTGGTCCAAGAACCCTATACCATATCACAAATAATAGACCACAATAAAGAATAATCACAAATAATAGAAAGTTTGGCAAATAATAGACCATGGATATACATGGATTTTTTTCTAGACTTTGATAAACATTTTCAAGAAGTGTCCAGAACTCACCAAAAGTTACATTCTGGCAGAAAAAAACAATTTTAAGGTTATGACACTTAAAAATTTTATAATAAACTCTAGATATCAAAACATTAATCAAATAGACTCCTGATTTTTATAGCTTTGTGACGTCTAGTTGCTATTATAGAACTTTAATACCTGATTGCAAACATAAAATTTTATCATTTTTCTATATATCAATAAAAATTTAAAGTATTTCACTCCAACTAAACCTGTTTGACGTCAATAAAGAAAATATAAAAGCAGTTTTTAATTCATCGTCTGTGAGTCGAATGATTAGCTACTGAATAACACTAAATAAGTTTAGTTATTTGGATAAATACTTAAAATTATTTGCAAAGATTCTAAATTTATTTAATTTAGAAACTTTGAATACTAAATATAAAAAGAAGCAGGTTTTTAATATGTCTGTGAGTTGAATGATGAGTTATAGAAAAGCAAAAATTATGTTTAGTTGTCTAGAACTTATTTAATTTTAACAAAACAAGTGAATGAATAAACACAAGTGTTAAATTACAATATGTTAAAAAGTAACCATAAAAAATTTTCAACTAAATGCAGCATATAATAAGAAAAAAGTTAATTTAAAAACATGTATATAAGAACTTAAGTAAAAAATAATACAGTATCTTAGTGGAAATTTAAGATGATGTTAAATAACTTAAATTTATATCTTTTCCCTTTTTTTTATTGCGCGAACAGGTGGACAACTATAAGTGAACAAGTACAAAGTCTATATTTTAAAGATGATATAAAACTAAGTATCTCTTAGCCAGAAATTTATATCAATCAACTTATACTGTACTAGTGACATTTACTTCATCTCTTGCTCCTCAATCAATGTTGTTTCAAACTTCACGTAGTTTTGACACAAAAACTGGATGACTGTGAATAATATGATGAAAATAAAAAAAAAGTTTTGTTGCTCAAATTTAGTGCTACGTATTTTAATATAGTTGAACCTTGATCCACTGATCTCACATCTTTTGTTTTTCTGTATGTACTGCATCGTTTAAATGGTCCTCATCATAAATGCTATTCCTGAAATGTTAATAATACCCTCTTAGATCGTTTAGAAATGAGCAGATTTTCAATTCTATCTCGTTTAGAAAAGCTACCAACATTGGGGGAAAAACTTTGGAAGTTTATTTGTTTTGAGGGGGAAAAATAACAGCGCTTGTGGCTGATAATGAAGAAAATGATGATTTGTTACAGATTGGGAAAAACGTGGGAAACAACAGGTTTGATGTTTATGTATCAGTTAATAAAAATGTCGAAACTTGCGGTGTTGTTGGTTCAAGATATGGTTGCAGAAGTTAAAGAAGTACTAAGTGACACTGATAGAGAACAAACCTAACGCAATTAATTAGATATTTCCAAAAGGTCTCGAAGACTTTAAAACCACGAGGAACTTTTTGTATTCACACGGACTTTCTACAAATGAACAGAAATCTACAACAAATGTCGAAAATTTATTGATTGCACCAAGAAGAAAGAAAACCAAAATTTCCGAATATTTTAAATAAATAAATATATTTATCCTTCTTTTGCAAGAAGTAAGTAATTTTTTTCAATTTTTTTTTATTATTTAATGTAAATTTATTAATTTTCATAGATTTTCTAGTCATTTTTTGATATTTTAAGTTGATACATGTGAAACTTTTCTCGTATCTATGGTTTGTAATGAATGGTTCCTTGAGAAACGATCTAAGGTTCTACTGTAAATATAAATATAGCCGGGATTTTAACAAATTTATATCAATTAGTGACATTAATTTTATCGTTTGCCTCTCAATCAATGCTGTTTCACACTCCATGCAGTATTGGGACAAAAATTGGATCACAGTAGCAAAAAAAAAAAATTGCTGATCAAGTTCATTGCTATGTATTTTAATACTTAAAGCATAAATAAATGACTTTATTGGCACTTATTATTTAGGACAACAGAGCAATACAAATACTTAGATTAAAACAAAATTATACATCCATCTGCAATTAATGCTTTATTTTTAAATAAGGAAAACTTTTGCCTGCTGGTCACTTTTATTTAATAAATTTTTACAACATAATAGAATTCAACCGTGACTTAATATCTCAGCAATGTAAGAGATGACAAAATAGGCAGATGGATTCCTAATAATATTACTTATCTAAAAACACTCTAACAAAGAGTGCTTTAAAATAAAATTTTTTTGCTTAAGCAATGGAAATACATTATATTTTAAATTTTTTCCAAACATTACAAATAATATACCTGGCTAATTGAGCTATCATTTTTCTTGAAGATAGACCTTTCTGGCATCTCATCATCTAATAGCTTCAATTGTCTCTTATCATACACATAACTAAGTCCTTTTCTACAAAAAATAACAGCTACAAGCTACAAAAAAATACAAAAAGTCTTTAAAAATTAAATAAAAAACTAACTTTTTAAACATAGTGGAAAGTATCAACTAAGAGGGGGGAAATAAATAATGACAAATTCAAATTCAGGTGAGAATTTTCCATTCAAATTGAGCAGGTCTTCTAAGTGATCCCACGGTTAATTCACATACAGATATAAATAACAGCCTACAGTAATTTATTATTTAACCACTTATTATAAATTATAATTACTTATTATAAATTTTAATTACTTATTATAAATTTTAATTACTTATTATAAATTATAATAAATTATTTATTATTATAAACTTTATACAGTTTATAAATTAAAAGTTTGGGAAAATAATACAGATTGAGAAAGAGTATATAATTTTTATTCTTTACTTATCAAAAAAATTAATCTAACTCTGAAATATAATTCAAAAATATTTAATAAGCTGAAACCTTAGTACGGAAACATAAGTTATGATTTTATCAAATTGATCCAATTTTGCTAACACACAAACTGATGGAGAGACTGAAAATTATATTAATTTTTTTTAATGCTATCTTATGTAATTTGATCTTATTAAAGTTGTTTATTATGATTAAGTAATTAAATTTTTATATTATAAGTTCTTTAAAACACATTTTATAGATATTTTAATAAAATAAAAATGTATGACAATACGAAATGCAAAAGGAATAAGACAATTTAAAGGTAAACACAAAGGTAAACTAAATTATTAAGCTTTATTACAAACCATACAGATTTTTTTTATGATAATAAATAATTAGATAATAATAAAATAAACTAGAATCTCAAACAAAACATGCATAGCAAAACTTTTCAAAATATATGTACATATTTAATTTTTACATTCCTTCAAAGAAATAAATAATATGAAGGTGTCAGTCATAATTTAATAAACTTATATAAAATTTTATTTTACATCATTATTGCAATTTTATAGCTTAATTTTTATAAATTTTCTAAAATATTGAAAATAAATTTAATGTCCCTCCAGAGCGGTAAAGCAAATGCAGTATTTTTAATCTATTTACAAAGAAAAGCTGCCAGGAAAGTGTAAAACAGAGCACATATCATACGTACATTATGGGGGGGGGGAGGGCCCAGCCAAATAACTTCTGATCTAATAATCGGATCTTCACGGTCTAGGACTCAATTTTAATGGTTCAAGGTGGTGTCTTTAAATATGCTAACTAATTAGTACTAACTAAATGATGATACTGTAAGTTGGGAAATGAAACACAAAAACATACTTTCTATGAATAAACATAACCTTTTTTTAAAAATATTTTTTTCTTCTTCAAAATTTGACTTTTTAGGAATCTATTAATCTTGCCTAAATTTTGTATTTTCCAATGTAAAATAACATTCTTTGAAATAATGTAAAAATTTATGCACCTTACAATTCAAATATTTTTGGCCATTATTAAATAAAATTATTACAAATAATAAACATTTTAACTAACTAACTCCCTGGCATTACAGTCCATGTTGGACCATGGCCTCACTAACAATTTTCCTCCAAAGTCGCCTGTCTCTAGCTCTTTGTTTCAGTTTCGGACTTTTAGAGTCTTAAGGTCTTTTTCCACCTCGTCAAACTATCTTTTGACCGGCCTTCCTCTTTTCCTTTGGCCCTGGCTAATAAACATTTACTAAAAGTTATATTTTGCACTGAATTATCTTTCGATAAACCAATTTTATAATTGTGTGCAAAAATGTTTCAATTTGTTCAAAAAGTTCTCAAATATGGTGAAAAACACATACAGTTACATACATTAAGGGGGTCCAAACTTTGGATCGCTCTACTGATCAAGCTATTGGAACCATATTTCCCAGACTTCGGGAACCCACTACATTTTGGAGGCAAGAAATCTGAATCCATCAAAAAAGGGTTTGTTTATTAAAATAAAAATTATGTTTTTGCGTCTGATTTCATAGCTCAAAATATCATGGGCACTAATTAATTAGTATACTTAAGGTCAATCACTCAAACCATTAAGATTGCGTCCTAGAACAAGAAAATTCGATCATTAGATAAAAAGTTATTCGAGCTGGTCATTTTTTTTGTGCACTACACAAGGGTTCATACAGAGATCAGAAGAAGAAATCCAAGGAGTATCCAAGGAGTCCAAAATTTTAAGGACTTATCAAAAATTTAAAAACTTTGTGTAAAAGATAGTCTTTTTTAAAAATTAAAAGCAGTTATTATAAGGAATTTGCAAAAATGTATATTTTGAATTTAATTTCTATCCCTTTTGAAATAAATTTTGACTTTGTCAAACTTCATCAAGAAAAATAAATTAAGTAATCACTTTGACACATAAATGCATTTTCTAATTTCAAATATTTTAATAAATCTTGTTAAAGTACAGATGTTAAAGATTGACATAAAAACCTACCAATCTTATATTTTTAAATTTGAATACATAAGAAAATCTAAGGCATTTTATACAAAAAAAAATTACAGCAAATTATTAATTAAGTTTGCTTGTAACATGTAAAATTATTTGCTGATATTTTTCTTCTTCTAACTCTTGCAATTCAACTTTTATTCTTTTAAAAGTTTTCTTAAACTGCTAGATTTTGACAGCTAAGTCATATCCAGTGGTGCAAGTGGCTAAAAATGGCTTTAGAGCAACAAAAAAGCAATTTTGGAGCAGCGAAACGAAGATTTGGAGCATATGTAATAAAAAGAATTATATATAATTTAATTTAATATAGCCAATATATTTCTTTAAAAAAAAGATCTTTTGGCAAAAGCAATTTAAATAAATTCAATATTGCGTGGCTCATACTATTTTCTAAATTAATAATTACTTTATTTAATTCTGTAAAAGGTACCTAATTCAAGACTCTAATTAATTTAACTATTATTTAAGGTTATCGAGTGTATTTTTCTGTAAAATTTTAATAAATGTTATTGGTAATAGCATATTCAACAAAACATTAACAAGATTAATATTGATCATACTGAATTCATAAAAATATGTAAAGAATTAAACAAATTAAGAAAACTTTAATAAATTTTTATTACAAATGTAAATTAGTGAATGGCTCATTATAAATTTTTATTAAAATTGGTTACCTAGTACAGTATTTCATTAATGAAATGATTAAAAAAAAAAAAATTTTTTTAAATGCAAATTGAATGAGTATTGGAGCTAAAAAAAATTTGTCAGAAGTAAATTATTATATTGTCCCTACACTCATAATATTTCACAAATCTGTGATAATTAAAATTTTTTATATCAATTGTTTTAAATCAAAGATCATTTTTAAATCATTAAGAGTTGAATTAAAGTATTTTTGAATGACAAATCTGAAAATCATAAGATTTTTTGCTGCATTTAAAATATTGAAAGCCCAGTCCCTCTCTTCATGCTTGCCTCTAAATATTATTAAGTTTTTTCCTTGAACAAATTAAGAGCAACGAAAATTTTGAAAGTAATAATACAATAATAAAATGCAATAAGTAAAAAACAGAAAAATATTATTTTTAAAAAAAATCAATTAAGCAAAATCAATGTTTAAATACAATATGCAATTAGTGGATGGTCCCTCAGATAAAAAATTACGTTTAAGAAACTCAATTAATTTTTATCTTTATTAAATTAAATGAATAAAGGGGAGATGGAAATTTTGAGGTTATGAAGCTTAGTGATTCTTGACTACTCCGAGGATCAACATGAAAATATGTACTTAGTGCATGGTCCCTCAAATTAATTCAAAAATCATGGTACTAATCTATAAATAAAATAGCGCAAGAAGGCCATTAGCTTGCCATTGACGAAGTTGATAGCACTTATGACTATGAAATTAACAAGAGAAATAAAATTTTATCTTGCTATTAAAATTTGGCAATGTTTAGTTGGTCCCCGAAAATTCGAGAGAAGTTTCGATTCCATTTCAGAGAGTGGAAAATGAAGCCTGAAAATCAGAATATCTTGCAAAATAAAGCAGAGTTGCACATGAAAGTGCGAGAATCCTTCCCACTGAATCCAGAGCAGTAGCTTGGTTGCCGCAAAATTGTGACTTCACGATACCCAGGGAAAAATATCCTTTTTGGAGCAATTTAAGCCAACTACTTCAATTTGGAGCATGTAGGAGCAGGTTTCCACAATTGGCGCGGATCGGCGCAGCACTTGCACCACTGCATATCATTTAGTTTCCCAGCTTAGACAGCAAATTCATCAGCGGACTTAGTAAGTTCATCTATGCAAAGCAATAATCAAGGAGTTTCTAAGGACTAATTTGGAAATCTAAGTAGTTCCAAGTACTCCTTGGAGACATTTTTATTTCCAAGGAGTTTCTAAGGAGTATAAGGAGTCTGTACGCACCCTGACACATGAATAATTGTTAAAAGAAAGAAATAAAATGAGAGAAAAAAACACATCACTAGGTATGAGTTTTGTAAGACTAAAATCTAAAATGCTAATTAATAAGCATGTAAATAAGATAATCATAGTTGAATATTTTTCCTGGCATCAATAGCAATCATATTCCTTTATTACATTTAATCAACTAATTTTTTTTTAAAAAAAAAAGCTTTAAAAAAGTGCAAAAATATAACAGAAATTTGATGTGATTATGAAAAATTTAAAACTTACCAAAACTGGAAAAGCAAATGCAGTATATCTAAACAATTTACAAGTAAACAGGATAACACAGAGTAAAAACTGCAGGACAGTGTAAGCTGCAATAAGTCTTATAGGAGCAAAGCGTACATAGCTGTAGTCAGGCTGATATTTTTCTGGCATCAAGAATAATTGGATTCTATCAACAAACTAGAAAAGCAAAATCATATAATAATTCATCCTTGTAAGTAAATCATCATAATTTGTTTCAGCAAAAATTTTTACCTGTAAACCATTTAAAGAGGTTACACCCATAAACAAGAAAATTCCATAAAACACAGGCATTGGAATCAGCTAGAAAATAAATACACAAGTAATCAGCAACAGTTTATTTTAATCAACACAATAACTATTAACTTATCATACAAAGCTGATAGTTGGGTAGAGCTTTAGTTTATCACTCCTGAAAAATTTTATTATTGAATACACAACTTTTTCCTTAAATTTCGTCCTCCCCTCCTCTTTCTAAAATAGTATTTCAAATTTTCTTATATTATAGAATTCAAGAGGAAAAAAAAGCACAAAATTCCAAAGGAAGAAAAAATCCTAATTAAAATTTTTTTTTAATGCAATTTATTGCAGTTGCAGGCCTGGAAAAAATCACTTACCATAATGGAGCAAAACCTGTGGGGCCAGGAGCCAAAGACAGCCCGATAATGTGTAACCCGCTGCCTTGCAACCAAAGATTTATTGAAAAAGAACCAAAGAATGTATGAAATAGGTACTTTCTAAACATTAATTCACTGTTCTTAAGATGTAATACAGATTGAGAACATATGGTCCTAATGACTTAGCCATGGAAACCTTTCTCAAAAAGAAAAATTATAAATATTGTCATCAATATTTTCAAGCTTGGACAAACAATTTCATTTAAAAAATCGTCATTCAATTTAAAAAAAAATTTCCACTTTTTTTTCCCATTTTGCATGCATTACTCAATGTATGAAATATCTTGACTTGCTATAATATGTAGTTAAAAATATATATATATATTCGGTTTTATATTTGTGCTCTCCTTTATATTATATAAAAAAAATTTATTGGAACAAAAGATGGATTTTAAAATAAAGGAGAATATTTCCTGACTGACTTTGCAATGCATAACTTTATTCTTTGTCTTGTTTCATGTTTGAATCATAAATAAGAAGAAAAAATTATTACTTCACTGTGTTCTTTTTGAATCTGTGAATGACATTTCTACTAATTCCTCAATAGGGTTGCTTTAATAAAATCATTTCTTTTCATTTTTTAATCAGACTTAATTTCTTGCTCAGTTTAATTTCGTTACTTCAGCTGGCAATGCAGGTCTTTGTTTTATTTCTTTTTCTAACCTTAAATTTACTAGTTGCTGCTATAAGCAACTAGCAAACAACTAGAAATTTAAATTTAGAGTAGAAATTTAAAAAATGGGTAAAAAGCAAGTAAAGACCATGACAATTATGATTGTCCTTTGTTAAATATTTATATTCATACAAGCCGAAAACTAAGAAACATCAAAGCTTGTTAATTTTTATTTTATATCATACAAGCCGAAAACTAAGAAACATCATAGCTTGTTAATTTTTATTTTATATTCGTCGTTGAACAGCCGACCCTATTTTGGGTTTACGACTACTAATGTTCAACTCCGTAGCCTTGTAATTTTGAACTCAATCCAAAAGACAAGGGAGCTCCTGGATCAAGTATTGGGAGAAATTTGCCTTCCTGGAGGACTTTTTTTATGAAACTAACCCGCATTTGACATACATGAAGAGGAAAACCACGAGAACCTCCCACGGTTAGCCTGACGGCAAGGGGATTCTAACCCATGATCTGTCTACCACTGAGGATATTTCACGTCAGCACTGTGGTCTGTGCAAGCTGGATGCGGAATTCGTATCTACCAACTATCGCCAGGATCGAACCCCAGTTCACCTCACTGGAAGGTGAACGCTCTATCCCCTGAGCCATCGCGGCTCAAGCTTATTAATTACGGTAAACTCATTCATTCTTATCCTAATAACCTTACATGATACTAAACAAAAATTTTTTAAAATTCTAAATAGATAAAACGCGCTTAAAAGCAGCAGAAATTTAAAAAAAAAAGATAAATGTAGTAATAAAGGAAACGAAGGAAATAAAAATATGACCACCGAAGCAGACATCTTCAGGGGGTACCGGCCCCGGTAGCCATAAAACAAAACCTTTTCCATTGAGGGAGAAAAAAAAAGGCTAAAGTAACTCCTTCAGTACCCCAAAGGTTTTGTATAGAAGTCAAGGAAAAAACATGAAATACAAAGAACCAATTTAGAAAAGAAACTCCAACAAAATCATCAGAAAATGAAAACTCACTTTAACCAGGTCAAACAGCGATTTCATAAGCAAACCGAATGAAAAGGAAACACTTAAAACTAAAGAAAACAATGCCCTCTATTACAATGCGCAGATTGAAAAAAAAGAAGTCAAGGAAAAGATATGTAACATTTTAATAGGATGCTTAACTGGGGCTGCTCAGTTAAGACTTGAATTGTGCCCTGTTAAAAGAAAAAAATATAAAAAACTAGAATTCTTCAATCATTTAGTGTAATAATCCTTATATGAGTTATACCTATTCAAAAATAATTAATATCATAAAGAAGTTTGAAGCCAAAAATTAAAAAAATAAATTATTTATATTACCTGCAGAACTTTTGTTAAGAAAACTGATATTCCAACAAGTACAAATATACAAAAGTGTGTCACTCTTTGTTCCCTAGAAAAAAAATGGCCCACATTAACGAAAAATGATCAATAGTTTTGTTAATATGTTTACTCCAAAAACATATACACTGAAAGCATGGCTTGAAATTAGCTGTCATTAGTTGTATCTTGTACCTAAAAATTTCAATTTGACAACCATAATCTTACATTGGATCATCACTTTTGTCACCTAACTACATCAATGAATATTTATTCTGTGACCGGATTTTTACAGCCAGTCGTCACTTTTAATGTAGACATTCCTAAAAATTTGTGTTTCATGATCCTAATCTTGCACTAAATTAATTTTAAACGGCAATGACTTCCAGTTTTGTCCTTCCCTGAGACTGGTATCTTCACACCCAGTAACTAGGGGAAGTTAAGCAATTTTTCTTCTATGCAAATTTGATATGTTTATTAGGTGATTACATTGCTTGGCAGAGAGAAACAAATTTTAATTCAGATTATTTAAATGAAAAATTTTTTTCATTGATTTCATAAATTTAATTATACATGAAAATTATTTTTAACAAATTAGAAAGTTCCTTAATTGTTAAAAAAATAATTTTTCTTGTCAATGCTGTTAACAAAGAATTTCGCAATCAGATTTTCTTTTTCTGCTGTAAATGATTGATTTTTTCTGCTTTTCTTTATGCGAAGACCATCTGTAAAAACTGGTATACCTAAGCGTAATATAAATTTTAAAAATTGCACCTAAGCAGAGCCTTCCAATTAAGAAAAATTTATTAGGTGCCACTGACATATTTTTTATCTAATTTCTAACCAACCCAGAGTGAAACTTCAATTTACAGACAATCCTTCAAGTCTGATGGCTGCAAAATAAATTATTTTTAATAACCCTTGTCAGTTTTCTGTGATTGAAACAGCAAGGTCCTTCCCCAGGTATAGTAGTTGCAACTGAAATCAATTTTTTAAATCCTTTAAAGATGGACACTCCGTGTTTTTTTAAATGAATTTTATATCGATAAGTGTTTTTTTTAATAACATGAACCAAAATAGACTTAAGAGAGGAATAAAGTGAATTGCATCGCTTGAACTCAAATGTGCCTGTTAACTTTTAGTATACAACTTGTTCAAATTTACCATATGTAAATTCCATAATTATATACATTCTTTTTTGAAGAAAAAAATTAAAATATCTACTTATCAAAAAGTTATGAACATATGTAAAACGACTTAAAACAAAAACAGATTTTACTAGGATATGGGTTAAGAAAACCCTAGGGAAAAAGTGAAATAATTTTTCAACGAATATTTTTTTTTTGCGTGTGAATTCCATTACAATCCCTTTACTTGTATTTTTATAAGACTCAATGAATTTCTCTAAATTTTTTTATAGCTACAATAAGACTTACAATATCTTCATTAGCATTAATATCTGATACATAATTTAAAAATGTAAAGGGGCCGAATAAGGTCCATCTGAATAATTAGGTTTTTGATTGCCAAATAATTTCTTTTCCATGTATGAAATAGATCATTTATTAAAATAAAAATAAGTGGAATGACGAAAAATTGTAAGCTAATAGCCCTGTTTATATTTTCATACATTAAAATATGCAATGATGTTTTCTTACAATTTTGAATAAAGATTTTTTCCAAATACACTTAAGACAAATAAAAATAGGTTTTAACAGAAAAATAAAAAAGTAAGAAAAATATTTAATGTTAACATAATTTCTTTTAAATTACAAAACAAATTTAACATTCATTACATTAAAAACTCCTTTTTTTTTTAAAAAAAAAAGACATTTTGTACGAATCAATAATGAATTTTCTTAATTTTAAAGACGATAATGTTTATTCTTGCTGAAATGCTGACATTTCTTTTCTTTCTCAAAAATAATTCATAAGGGCTGCATTTTTTAAAAATGCAAATGTACAAATAAACTAAGCTTGGCTCTCTGTAGATAATTTTCCTTTCCAAAAAATACATAAAACTTTTTTAACAATTATTTCTAAAAAAAGATTTTCTTTTTACTCTATTTAATGAAAATAACAAAAAATTGAAGGTTTTAATGATTTCCACTGCTCAGAAAATTAATCTAATTAAAATTAAGTTTTACTATCATTATATTATAAATGCTCAAGATTAGGTTTATAAACAAACCAAGGTTAGGTATAAATGTGATCAGCTTTCTAAATCTTTAAAAAATATTTAATTAGAGTCTTTATACAAAGTCTATATAATAAATATTAGATACCTATTGCATTCCAGCATCTTAACGACAGTTTTTTTTCCTCAGATATAAACTTTAAAGGAAGGCTAAGATACTTCATGGGTTGTTGTGCCAAGGAGTAAGCAATTAATTTGGATTAAACATATATTTAAAAATTTATCTAGGTTGATTATATATTTTGAACTGATTATGTATTTTGATGTAAGAGAATAAGTACAGAAAATTATTTCCCCTTTTTCAGTAATTAATACATAAAAAAACTAGAAAATAGCACTTTAAATTTTTTTTTGTTTTCATAACAATGATACGTAGTGAGATAAATGGATGATAACAATGATAAGTGAAGAAAAATTAGAGTACCTTATACCCAAAAAGTGTGCTTTTTCACCAGGTGCAGTGCCAGGACAGAATATCCTCAGAGAATTTACATGTGTCATAGAAAGCACAGTGCCAGCAACAAACCATGGCAACCCAAGTATTGAGCATACAGCAATTAAGATAGTTACTATGAAAAGATCTAAATGGTATCCTCGCCCTTTCTGAAATGCAACAATTTTTAAAAGCATTATTTTTTGCATGCAAGTTTAATCATTGAGATAATTTGAACCAAAGAAATACCTGAATAATCAGAAATAGTTTTGTAATAATTAATAATAATTAGTAATTTTCTTTTAAATTTTTGTTTCAAAACATAGCAGTTACCTAGTCTATAATAAGAATTTGATTTAGTTAAAAAAAATAATGTCACATTTCCTCAAAATAAAGAAGAAAAAAAGATTGAAGAATACATGCAAATACTGCTAAAGTATAAATCATTCATTAACAGAGAAATATTTATTTCTGCTATCATAATTATGCCAAATACATCACCATATAAAAAAAAGTTCAGTTATATAACATTAATGCATTTTGCAACATGAAATAAATTTCAACCAAGATTTCTATAATGTTAAAATTATATATTTATTTTAGAAAGAAGATTTTCAGTAATTATTTTTTTTATTTGAAAAACAAAATAATAAACAAGAATATTTCTTAATAAACTTGAATTTCAGGAAATATTACAAGCTAATATGAAAAAAATATATATATATATAAATAACGTTGCTGCATGATAATAAAAATATGAAAATTTATCAAAATTTTAGTAAAGTTTTGATTCATAACCTGGTCGAGCCAAAAAATACACAAAAGAAAAACTTGCATATAATTTGTACTATTAACCATATTTGTATTTATTTTCCAATTTAAATTTTTTAGAGTAGTAAAATATATTTATTAATCTAGAAAATTATCAATTTATCTAGATATTTCATAAGTTTAGCTTAAAAATTACATATATACAAACACACTTGTTCAATTAAAAATAATCGTTGAGAGCTTTAACGATAATAATTTTACTCCCAGCTTGTATATAAATATAGGAAAACAAACCTTCAACTTATTTTCTTTTCTATTAACAATGACTGACGTTATTTGCTGATCCATGAAAATTAAGAGAGTCAATAATAAAGCTGGAAGCATCGCTAGTAAAGCTGACCACCATGCATTTTCACCAAAAAATGGAACAAGCCACTCCCTTTCATGCCAAGATGGCTAAAAACAAATTTATACTTATTAATAAATTAAACATACAATCATAATATTTTTTAAAGCAGAATATTAGCATTAAAAATAGATTAATATACATTTACCTGAAATGTATCTGGTACTTCCAATTTTGGAGTGGCAAAACCAGCAAGCAAATCAAACCCAGTCATAAAGATTACTGCAATAAGTACAGAAAATTCTGATATGACTGTTCGAACCTGCAAAAGAAAAACTTATTCTATATAAAACTTATTATTAGATAATATAGCATAACTAATAAAATAACCGAGAAACTGATAACAATATATATATATATACACAAAAGTAAGTTAAAATATTAGTCAACAATCTAGTAAAGTTTGTAACAATTTAAAAGTCTGTACAAAAATCAACTATCGTACGGTATTGGACAGCCTGGTGTTGTCACTATCAGGGTAATTGTGACACAAAGTAAAAGTCTCCGAAATTTTTATGTGAAAAAAACTTGATATCAGATTAAGAATTTATACACCAAAAATAATACAAACCTTTTCCATAAACTACAGGTTTAATGAAATATTTTTAACTAAGATTCATTTTTTAAGGTAAAATTAATACATATTATTACATTCTTATACTAATTAATTTAAGAGCAAAAAATTCATAATTATAAGCCTTTAGAAGAATCAACAACAGGAATAAAAATAATTTTTTGCAAATGACACACAGATTATTTATCGTTAATAGTTAAAATATTTTTAAGCACTTTTCAAAATCAAATAAAAAAATCATATTCAAGCTTGATCATCAATAAATTTTTTCCTTTATCAATAGATGTATTTATATATAGCTAGGTATCAATAAATTTTTTCCTTTTGTTAAAAGTTTTTGATATATATTTACACAACACACACAATTAGCAAATTGCAAGAACATTTTTAAGGACTACATAATTAAGACAAAATTCTGTAATCAATGATCTCAGATTTTTTTAAGGTATGCTGTGATAAATATTGAGATTTTTAAAAAAAAAACTTGTAACAATTCTTAGCAATAACAGTAGAATAAATATCAAAACATTGCATTGGTTTATAACGAATTTGGCTCAAATCAAGTGCGTTAAAAAATAACTATCTAAACATGCAATTTTAATTCTGCAGCTCATAATAATATTGGGAAATTAAAAACCAGGTGAAAATCAATAGCAATAAACGGTGGGAAAAAAAACACTGGAATGGATTTACGATGGAATTGAGCACATCAAAAAGTGATTCCCAAATGTGCTATTCAAATTTCATGAGACAAAATATCATTGCATAAAAATATTGGTATATCAGAAATTATACGAAAATCAAAAGAAATAATCAAAAAAGGGGAGCGAAGAACTGCAGAGATTTGTAACAGTGCAAGCCGAAATTTTTAAGTTGTAATATCACACTAAAATATTCGGATTTTATTGACTCTATTAAATTTTTTTTTGCGGAAAAATAAAACAAAGAGGAGGATTTAATATATGTATACAGTGCCACTCAAAAGTATCAGTACACCTAGAAACTAATAAAAAAATGCCAAAATTCAAAGTGTCATAACTTCTTTAAAAATGATCAAAAATGCTTCTGCTTTATCTCATTTTGAAGCTTAAAATCTCTACTTTTATGTACNAAAAGTTCTAAAGCAGAAGCATTTTTGATCATTTTTAAAGAAGTTATGACACTTTGAATTTTGCCATTTTTTTATTAGTTTCTAGGTGTACTGATACTTTTGAGCGGCACTGTATATATATATTATTTTTACTATTTATACTTGATTTTTAATATTTATATTTGGATTTAATATATGTACATCATATATATATAGTCTGGAAAAAACTTCTTGAGAAGGCCAAGGCCCACCTTGGGCTGCCGAGTCATTGATAATGATATATATTGGTTGCAGATCAGAATTTGTTACTACATCCCTGTCATAGATGACGTACATCATACCACATTACAGCGATCAAAATCCAGTCTCATAATGCCTAAATCTAAATATAAGTTTAAAAAAATATTAGAAAAATGATCACTTTTGGAGTGAGTAACTTTTAAAAAGTAAGCAATTTTGGAATGACTTTTTATATTACCAATTTTAGGTTCTTGTTTTCACTATATTTTAACAATTGTTTTCTTACTAACCTAAGTAGAAAAACTTGATAGTATGTGAATGAGAGCTTGACAGAAAAAAAGGGAAGATAACGTTAAGGTAAGGAAAGGTATTAAAACTTTTATTTCAAATTTCTGAAACTCTCTAAAAATTATGTTGGGATACAAGTTTTTGATTCAAGAAAATTCACAAATCAACAGTCTTGAGATTTGCAGAATACGATGAAGCAATAGAAAAATCACAAGCCCAGCTTTTAGTTTTAAAATCGAGAAGGACGATCCGAAAAACTTATAATACACTAACCCCTGTCACTATTAGTTACAGCAGGGTTGGCAAGATTTTGCCGCAGGTGGAAAAAACCATGGTAAATACCGGTAAAAACCGTCCTGGCAAAAACAGGTTTTTGCCAAGCAAATTGGCAAAAAACCTATATTTTCCGAGATGAGAGGACAAAAACACATTTTTGATACAAAATTATTACTAAAATTGAAATATATACTATGAATATAAATAATTACAAAAAAATTAACAAAATTATTATTCCATAATTAAATGATAATGTAATAATATATCATTTTAGTAGTTTAAAACATTATTGATTGGAAAATTTGTGATTATTCTCTTTTTTCCAGTGAAATGAACTTATTTTAAATTAATACAAATATAATTTAAAGCATAAAATATCTATCAACATGTGTAGTTAATTATTGTACAAATAATAATTTTTTATAATAAATAATAATATTATACAAATAATAATATTTATTTATTTGTAAAAAAACTTATTTTAGGATTCTAAAAAGAAAAGAGATCAAAAACTTTCAATCTTTTAAAAATTATTACCCTTATATTAATTGTTAATATGTTAAAAATAATTTTTTCATGTAATGCATCAAAATTATTATTCCTTATGATTTATTCAAATTTGTTTCAAGTATTTTGTAATAATATTTAATCAGCAATTTAGATAATTTGGTTTTTGCCGGTTTTTACCAGGTTTTTGCCACTGTCCTGGCAAAAAACCCTTTTTGCCGGCAAAAACTCCAACCCTGAGTTACAGAAACAAAATACTCTCCTTTTTATATATTTTTCATAGGTAATTTTTCTAATACCTCACACAACTTATCCAATTTTTTTGAGGTATTCATTTAATAGATACATTGTTTGAAAACAATAAAATATTTGTAGTTTTATTTATTTTTAAATTTGTGAATGTTAAGACAATGACATAGTTTTAGATATAAAAAAATTTAAAATTTCACGATTTTATTTTTGAAAAAACTAAATTTATTTAAGAAAAACATTTTAAACAAAAACACTAAACAAAGACAAATTGTGAAAATTATAAAACAAAAAAAATATTACAAACAATAAAAAAAATGCAAAAATTACCTTAGAACGAAAATAAGGCATATTCTTGAATTTCCTCAGTAAAAGGATAAGACAAAGAGTGCCACTAAACAACATTATGGACATCAGAAAAATATTAGGCACATATAAAGTTGGTGTATAGCTACAACCAAATGGTGCAGATATTCCATTCAGATATTGGCACCGTTCTTCAGTGTTAATACTGAAATTCACAGGTGATTGCAGAATACAGATGCACATTGGATTATAAGGTGTGTATTTTGTTATAATGGGGAATTTCTTGCCAATCAGTATTAGCTGTAAAAATGATAAATAAATTAAAATAAAATTATAATTCATGTATCCACATTAGAATAATTTATAATTTGCCAATATATTGTGAACAGTTTTATAACAAAGTAAATGCTTAATTTACTCTTAAAAGTGTTTTTCGACCAGGAATTGATTAGAAAATAATTTATATATTGTTGACTAATAAATTTCAAAACCATTAATAAATCAACTATTGGACAAAATACTTTTTTTCATACATTGCTTAAAAAAATTACGTAAGTTAGTTTTTATAAATATATCACATAACAGACATTTCATATTCTTTTCACAATTAGAATGATAAAGTAAAGCCTAATTGAAGCATGAATTGTTAAATAATTTACTAAAAAAGGCACCATAAACAAATTTGAGGATTAGTACTTTGATGGAAACAAAATTTAGTAGAAATATATTTTGATCCTGAATATCTAAATTTTAACAAAACAGCTTAATTTCAATATATAATCATAAATTATCTCAAAAATTGAAGAAACATATAAAATGTTAAAAATTTTTATGGTTCAGATCAGTCTAAAATAACTTACTTTGAATATTTTATCACAATCATGCAGATTAATATGGAAGGTGTAGATAATCTTTAAAACACATATTTCAAAATAGATTTGATTGAAGCTGGTTTCAATCATAAAACATTTAATAAACAAAAATTTTATGCAAATCGATGCAAGCAGTATAGTCGATAAAATGAAGAGCTAATTAAAATAATATGCTTAGAATAAATATATAAATTACAATCTAGAATTGCTGAAAAGCCTCCAATAGTTGGAAGGAAAGTTTGGAACAAAAACTAATAATTGATATTTACTTATCAATTTTTATTCTGACTTACTGCATTTAGTATAAATAGTAATATTTATACAAAAATTAATCAAAATATTATGAGGAAAGTAAACATGAAGAGTCTTTCACATTTTTAGATTATTACACTAAGCTGGAAACTTGGTCAAACTTAAGAGAAGTTAGATTTTATTTATTTTAATTTTATACCTTCATGAATACATCAATTAAAATAAACACACATATCTTATAATTAAAAAGAAATGAGTTTCTCTTAAATTATAAATCAAAATTAATTTAATTTTGAAGAAAAAAATCTACAAACTTAGTCTAGACTAGAGAAATATTTCATGTACAGAAAAATTATAGTAAACTCTTGATTAATAATAGGGATTATATAATTTAGGAAGAGGAAAAAGGCAACATAATGTAAGGAGACGATCATGAGAAAAGGAATGAATAAAAATTTCTATCTGTTTACTATTCCTAAAACAATTGAGTAAACTACATTTCTATACATACATTTTGTTTTGCTTTACAAGTAATCTCTATTTTAAATATAAAACTTCAAACTATTTTCTTTGTATTCAGGAAATTATTCATGTCTTATATAACTACTGATAAACTAGCAATTATGTGGAAAGGTTAACCTCCATATTGAAGACGGTAAAAGAGCAATCAGTTAGCTGTCAAGGGTGTTAGCTATCTTTTAATTTTGCTGCCAAATTATAATCTGAAAATTTTGTTAAAGGTGGATTTTGTTTAAAACTAATTTCTGTTCGTTTTACACAATTTCAAATCAAAGCTATGCACTAACAAAAAATTGCATATAGAATGAAATGGTTGTAGGAATTGTATAAAATAATCCCTATTTGATTGAAGTTTTTTAAACTGCCCCTGTTTGATGCTTGCTATCAGTACATATCTTTATTTTTTGAATTTATCTAATTGAGAGCCAATTATATAAACATGAAGACAAAAAAAAAAGCATTAGTAAAACATTACAAATAAAAAAATGATATATGAATGATTTGCACATACCACAAATAACTAGGTATTTAATTTATATTTCAATTAGGATTTTTATTAACCAAGCTATTAAGAAACAAAGAAAGAACTCATAATTATATTCACTTACATTTTTAAAAGCTTTATAAATAAAATAGCAGGAAACCATAAAAGCGAATATTTCTTCAGTAAATCGAGTGATGTAACGAACAAGAGATGCCATATTAAAAGCAACAAATATAAACAAATAAATAGAGGTCCAGATACCTATCCATACCCGGAACGGGAGATAATTTATTGAGTATAATCTGAAACACAAAAAAAATTCTTTAATTGAAAATGCAATTTAATGAAAAATATAATCTCTAAATAAAAAATAAAATATATGTACCATTAGTATTTATGAATCTGACTTAAAATAGCATAAATGTTCATGCTAATAAAAATTTCTATCTTGAACTAGCTCTATGATTGACGCATGTTTATTAATTTAAATTAATAAAAGCCAAGACATGGTCGAGATTAGTAAAAGCCCAAATGGTCGAAATGTTTTTTTCTTTACATTCAATTGTTCCAAAAGTTATATTTTATCTTGTCATTTAGAATGAAACTATTGTTTTCAATAAGTTGGCCACACAGGTAATCCAACAGACCACACATGTAACCCAAGTTCAAATTCCAATAATTACTGGTTCTTTCTCATATTGCTCACAGTCCATGCTGTAATAATGTTAAATGTTATCTGTATTAGTAAACAAATCAAACGTTCTAATCCATATTGCTGTTAAGCTAACTGTAAGAGATTTTTGTGGCTTGTTACTTTACGCAACATAGGTGTAAAAAAGATTCAATCAAAAAAGTTTGCTATCTTCTGAATTGTTTAAAATTGCAAGAATATTAAAGTGAATGTTATAGCCTTGCATATTGATGAATAAACTGCACATAAGTAATGACGAGCTGCCCATAAGTAATCATAAATTGTACATAAACAATGATAATTTAGAATGTTGCGTGTCTAGTTAGAAATAATCTTTATTATTCATATTCCAAGGGGGGGGGAATCTTAAGTATCGCAAAATGTTCCTAAAAATACTTCATGTTTTTGGATGAGGTGTCACATTTGTGTATAATAAGCATAAAATTCGATGTGGAACTGCAACTTTTAACAATATAAAGCTTCCCCAATGAGTATTTTTACAGTTTGAATTATTGTATATTTGACCATCACTAATTTAGATGCATTTCAAATTCATAAAAAAATAGAAGCCTGAAACTACTGTAATAACACAAATACAGAAGTAAAGAAATGCACATACTCGCAAATCTCAAAAACTAGACTTTCAAATGCAAGAACAGGGCCTGTAACACCTAGTAATGTTAGAGGCTGACCACTGGTTAAACTGTATGTAACACCACAAATAAAAGCTGATATTAAGCACTCTGTAGCTGCCTATGAAGAAACAAACAATATATCAATTTCATTAATTTCTAAATCATAAATTTTAAAATACACTATTAAATCACATCAAAAGATACATTAAAAATCAGAGAAAAATTCAAATATAGTCATATCTCAATATTACGATCTTATAGGGAGACAAAAAAGATTTCGTGATTTTAAACATTTGAAGTAACGAAAAATGAAGGGCAAATTTCTTCTTTAACAACTCAGTCAAAATAATACGGTACTGACATTAAAAAATTTATACAGTATATATCTACTTTGAAAAAAAATTTATCTTAAACACTTTTAACATCTTTGCAATTTCATTTAAACTTGCATGTTTTTAAATTCATTCCGATTTGTCATCTTTCCTTTTCTGATTTCTGTAGACGTCTTTGCCTTGTTTAATGTTTCTGAATTTTGTCATTCACCACACACTGAAACATTATTATACACAGAAACTACTTCTTCATAAATATGTCTTTTATTTTGAACTCATTCAATTAGCTAAGCTTTTTCCTATTTTAGGAGCAGGAAACTATGAAGCTTGCTAGAGGGTTTAGATATCTGCTCCTAAAATAGGAAAAAGCTTAGCTAATTGAATGAGTTCAAAATAAAAGACATATTTATGAAGAAGTAGTTAAGTAGTTTTTTAAAAAATCAATTTAAAAAAAAAAAAAGCATTTGATATTCTTTAGAAATCGTGGAAGAAATTTTGGTCATAAAAAATATTTAGTAAAATCAAGTGTCACCGAAAACTGTATTCATTAAAGACGTTTCTCTGCTTATAAATACAGCAAATGAGTAGGGAATTCTAATTTTTCACGATAAGGAAACATCTGTATCGATAAATTTCCAGTTAACTCATATTTTTTTAAGACTTGACTCCTATTAAAATTATCAAAACAAGAAATTTAAAAAACACAAGCATTATTTTGAAAAATAGAGTAAGACGTAAAAGCTATTTTGCTGTGCCCCTTCAATTTGCACTATTAAATAGTTGGTTTAGTACATGTTTGGTGTACAAAGCCACTTTCTGAATTGACACTTTTTGAATTTAAAATCATTATTTTTAAATTATAAACAATAAGAAATTTTTAACTAAAAAATTTCTTAAAGCAAAGAATATTTAACTACATTGCATATGAATATAAGCTGATTTTGCAACTGTTACTTTCCTCCCAAAAAAGAAGGATGATTAAAAGTTATCATAAGTGATATTTAATAAATGTGCAAAGTTTGAAAAATACTGGCTTATATCTTGAGAAGATGCTGTAAACCTAAAGTTTCATTTTTGTTTTTCCACCCATTTTTATAATATATTGATATTTTGCAGTAAGTTGATATTATTACATATTATAGTTGATTTGACTATTTTAATACCTTCCTGATTAAATAAAGATGTCTCATATTTTATTGTAATTTAAAGGTTCATAATGTCTATTAATAAACAGGAAAATACAAATAAATAAAAAGCAACTCAATAATCAAGAACTTAGAACAGTTTAAATCGGCAGGAAAATGAAACTGTTAGTTTGTTTCAAACCAAATGTTTTCCTGTTTTATCATTTCCAAGAAATTTTGAGTATTTAAAATGCAATTGTACAGTAAAATAATAGGAAAAGGAATTTAATAATAAGTTATACCAATTAAAGATGCAGCAATAATGAATGTCTATTATCATAAATTTTATGACTAATTAATCAGAAAGAAGTTTTTAATTTTTTTAATCAAAGAGACAAAGTGAAACATTGCCCCCAAATACTAACAGAAAGAAAAGTGAAAACCCAGATACTTGAAAATTGAAGAATAAAGGAATAACTTACTATTCTTTGTTTAGTAACAGAACCAAGTGCACCCCCAAATAAAACGATTTGAGAAATACAGACAAAGTATAGAAACACCACAGAGGAAATGCATTGTAAAGATATGCAGTCTTTGAAATCACTTAAATACCAAGATGATTTGCAGCGAATATCAGCCCTTAGTCCTTCAAAAAACCTTAAAAAAAACATGGTGCTCTATTAAAAATCAAGAAAATAGCTATTTTGGTGAGCAAATAATAATTAAGAAATCGCAAAGAATAATATAGTTCAGAAATAACGAACTTAAATTAAAACATGGGGGCGAAGAATTTTTTAGCATTTTAAAAGTCTTTACAAGCATTTGTTACATTCACTATGACATGAAAGAAAAAAATTATAGAAATGGAAAATCTAACTGACTTTTAAATACACATTACCATAAATGATAGATACAATTAAATTACTTCTGCAAAGAACCGAAAATATTGTGTGTATAAACCTCTTCATTAGTGATTATTATTGTTTTCCTTTTTACTTTGTTCTACTAAGAGCACAAAAGTAACTATACTTACATTACTTATAGACAACTCAGTTAATATTAAAAAGTTAGAAAACACACTTTTACAGAGCATAATTTGAATTTTTTTTCTCTGAAATAATGCATACAAGACATCTAACCTGTTTGTGTTAATGATATAATAAACAGAATACATTCCATTATATTTTTTTAAAAAAACTAAAGATATAATATGATATGTGCATAATATATGGTATGGTAATATGGTAGATTAGGAGAAAACAAAGTTAAAAAAAAGCTTAAGAAAAGAAAAACTGTTATAAGAAACAAAATTACATAGACAAACAAAAACATACTTTTCATTACATGAAGCATCTTGACCGTCATAGGAAATCATATTATCACTAATATCTTCATGTTCACATTCCTTTTCTGCACTTTCAGGTTTTTTTCTAGCATCCTACAATAATCATGTCTAATTTGAAATGTAATAAATTATAAAATAGTATATTCAAATGGCCAAAAATTCAGAAATTTTAGTTAAGAGCCTGGAACAGCATTTTTAGGTTAACAAACATATCAATAAAATTATTATTTTTTTTCTAAAAATAATAATAGATAAAAATATATGTTTAAAGTCTACACTACTTTTTTCTTTTTTACTCCTAGAAAATTTTAGAATTTTAAATCAGAGTAAATTTTCTTTATTTCTAAAAGTTTATTTTAAGTTTTTAAAATTTGAAATTCCTTCTCACTTAGTTTTTTGGCGCTTTCCAACACAGTACATTAATTTTGTTTACACTAATGCAATGATTTGCTATATTTCAAAATTCTGAATGCACAACTGAAGTGAACATATATTTTTTAATTAATATAACAACTAAAACCTTTTGGATATACTTTATTTTAATTTCTTTTCTTTAAACTATATATTAGTTTTATATCTTTTTTGAATGATAGATAATAGTGAATTACATATATTGTTAATTGAATGATAGGTAATATTTGATAGGTGTGCGGATTTCAATGTTAGATATCCAACTAATCATTTTAGAAAGAAAAGAAAAACACAGAATTTAAGGTACCATGGATAGCTTAGGGAGAAGGAAGAAAAAAAAAACTACACCTAACAAAAGCTTAGATCAAAAATATTCAATCATGAATATTTCTAAATGCTAAATTAAACAACTTATGACTGGGTTTCAAACTATTAATGGTGAGCAAGCAATTTTTTCACAAAGATTCAAACAGAGTGCCAGCTTTAGTATTAATTCAAATATTTTGTTGTAAAAAGAATTTATAAATCACTGAATGGAATGCGATAAAAGCATTAATTTTTTAAAAGGTTATTTTTAAATTGTTTCACAACCTTGTTTTTAGTCGCAGGTGTGTAATGTGCAGAAGCAATTTAATAATGAAATTTTTTTTATTCAGACATTTTATTTGAATAATAAAGACAATAAAATCTAAATACACAAAGTGTCAGAAACAAATTAAAGAACATAATTGTCGTGAACTTTAAATGGTTAAAGTCACTGTTCCATCATATAAAAAAATTAAGAATTCCTTGCAAGAATTTAAAGAAAAATTTGTTTAACTTTATAAGTGTGGCTTTATACATATTTTTTTGCAATAATATAATTTCAGAGCAAGTTAGCCCACTTAAAAAAAAGTTTCTTTAATGCAATATTCAATAGCCAATTTTTATCCCTCTCTTAAATTGCTGTTTTTCATGCAGCAAACAAAAAAGTATAATTTTGCATTTTTACTTTTTATTGTACAAAATTGGAAAAAAAATGTTAATAATAATCAATAAGTTTTAAGTTAAATGATTTTAAAGTCCCGAAACAAAATATTAATTGTATTTATTTTACATTTTATGTGGATTGTTTTGAGAATTTCTGGTTCAGAACAAATCCTAAGATTACATTCAATGAATAACAATTCATTGAACCACTTTTTTAATATTCTTCAAAGCATACATACAGCAAAAGTAGGGTGATGGCTGTTTCTCCTCCCAAACAATAAAATGTACTTTATAAAATGCAGTTTCAAAATACTAGTATATAAAAGATACTTTTATTTACAAAATAGTACTGACAAATGAATAGATAAACTGAAACCACTATTTAGAGTTTTAAATATGCTATCAGTTTAAATAAGTTTTATCCAGGCCAAACAAAAACACCATTCTATTTTAAACCCTTTGCGGTCATATGTCTACTCTCAGCCACCAACGTTTTTTTACCGTTCCAGTCATCATATGTGTGCTCTCAGTCACCACAGCAAAGATGTAAGGAATAGCTTAATGGCAAACTACATATATTGCGGCACTGTGAAGATGTAAAGATTGTTCTGTATGTTCAAAGAGAAAAATTAAAGTCGGAAGTCGCGAAACTAATTATTTTTGCGACACATGTTCTCGAAAATCAGGGTTTCATATTGGAGACTGCTTTGAAAGATACCACACGATGGAGAACTATAAAATATAATTTTAACATAAAATTAAAACATATTATTGTGTTACATATATCTAAAGTTTAAAAAAGAATTAATAAATTTTATTTTTCATTCATAATCTTGCATATTATGTATTACCACTCGTTCAACGAAAATTAATTTCGAGAAGCACGACATCCATGTATAAACTTAATGTGACCATAAAGGGTTAATATTTTTAGTATTTATTCAGTAAACAGGTAGCATTAACTATTTTAAATAAGTTTGAAAACTACAAAAAATATGACTGAATAATTTCCTTTATAATTTAACAAGCATTTACTTGCTTTGAAGAAAATACTTTTGAATAAAAAAAATTCTACACTGTAATGAGTTCAGAACAATTTAAAATGATTCTCAAGATAAGTTTAAAATTGTAGTTACAACAAACAATTAAAATTAAAACAAATCAAAAAAGATATTACAAATCAACAAATTTAAACAAATCAACAAACTAAAACAAATAAAAAATGATAAACTAACTTGAGATGCAGTTGTCAGAGGTGGTTCGATTCTTGTTCTCGGGTCCCAAACTCCAGGTGGCAAGACGGTGGTAGCATCTAAAAACTCATCCACTCCAGCAAGTAGATCATCACGATTTCTTGCTTTATAAGCCACGTTATGAAATACCTAAATAATAGTAAATTAAAAATCATATATATATGTTACCGGCAAAGTATGAAATCCGGCATTGTATAGAATGCCTAAAATTAGCAAGCAAAGTATGAAATGATTTCAGGGATCTGTCTAGGTTTTTGTGAAAGGTACCTATTTTGTGAAAATTTAGACATAATGTGTGAAAAATTAAAAATTATATTAAAAAATCAATACAAAAACATGGTTAAAATATAGATTTATCGTTTCTTAAGGGATACAAAAATAAAATGTCAAGAAAAAGTATTTTGTGAAACTACCGTTTTTCCTAAAGTTGAATTTGTGAAACTACCGTTTTACCTAAAATTGAATTTGTGAAGGTACCGCTAAACGGTAGTTAATTCGGCCTGGACAAACCCCTGGATTTATATTTCACACATTGTCTAGGCATTCTATAGAATGCCAAATGCTATTTAGGCAAAGTATGAAATAAACGTCCTGATGAGGTTATTATGTAAATAATGTGCAGGTTACTGTGAATGACCGAAATCGGTCGTTGTTGACTTTCACCGGTGAATGTTGACAATCACATAGTCGCTTTGGTGAATGTCGGAAATATTTATTACATCCGACTTGATATTAATTTAATTGTGGATATAATTACATTTATTCGATGCTTTAATACTTACTGACAATAGATTAGAACGATTCTACACAATGCCAGCGTTTCATACTTTGCTGGTAAGATATACAAAAAAACCCTTAATATTTCACAATTAAAATATAAACAAAATTGAAAAGAAAAATATTTATGCTTCATAAACTAAAAATTAAATATGTATACATACCTAAAAATCAGAAAGAAACTCAATATAACTATGTTTTCAATCTTTTTAAGGAAAAACTTATTTGAGAAATTAAAAGCTGGAATTCAGAAACTTTAAATAGGCACTATCAAATATGCATTATAAACAAGACTGCATGAACACCTTTTGAAGAAAATTTGTCACCATCGTGAAAAATGTTTTTAAGATTAATCATTATTTAAAAAAATAAAAAATAATAATTAAAAAAAAAACGGTTAGATTTTTCTTATTTAACCTTGTTGTTAATTTTAAAAATTTCAGATACAACAACAGAAAATTTGTTAAGTTAAAAACTTGTTCAATATCATTAAAAAAAACTGCCAAATTTAAAGAAATATTAACTAGCATGTATAATAATCAACATAGAGTTTTATAAAAATTAAAATACTAGTTTTTCCATCAAATCATGATGATTTTCAATCAAATTTTGTCTAAATTATGTGGATGTCAAAAGGTCTGAACAAGTTACAAGAGTAAATAAATTGCTTGCAGAAAGTTTTTCAATTGAAATCTTATGATCACAGAAAGTTTTTCATTTAATCTAAGTCTGGGAACTATGCCTACGTCTTAGGAAAACTTTTTCTTACAATTCTGAGGCAAAAACTAAGTTACAAATGAATTTTTCTGAACAAATTCTGTAATTTTTATTCGATCACAGTTATTTCCTTCTGATACGTCACATAACCTCTAGAATTAGTCCAGGTAATGTAAGCAGCAAGAGAGATTATGTAAGCAGGAAACAAACTACAGTAAAATACAGCTTAACGCGAGTGATGCCGTATCACTCGATATCGCGTGAAGCAATTCTTTTTTCTATTATTGTCAATATAACAGAGTAAGCAGTAGTAAGATGGCATATTATCACACCAACAACTTCTGCAAAATATATGTCTTCTTTTGACAAAAACATATTGTTTATTAAAATAAACTTATTATAAATTTAAAACCTAAAATGGTTGCTAAAATAAGAAAATTTAACTTTGATTTTATCTTTATAGATTAAAAGATACAGCATAACCACTTGCACTTGAACTCAGCCAAATTTCGGAAAAACTCTCTGCAAGTAGTATAAAAAAGTCAAATTAAATTTTTTAAATTACTAATCTTTGACCTCGATCTTTTTCCGAATGCTAACGTTTGTGACAGAAAAAAATAAAATGGGACAATAAAAATTCTTTAATTAAGAACTAAAAGACTTAGAGAATGAAACATTTAATTTTAAATTAAATTATATATATATACTTAAAAGTTAGTCAAAATCTAAAAAAAAGGAGTTCATCCTTATATTACTGCTCTATCCAAGAATTTATCAAAAATTAACCACAACCTACTGCTATTTCTTTTTTTGAAAGACTAAGAAAATCTACATTTTTCATCCTCACCTTTTCATTGCTCATTTACCGTATTTTTCGGCGAAAGCGCCGCACCTCGATAAAAATGAAATTTTAAAAAAAAAAGTTACAGTACCCGCCGCTCCGGCGCAAACGCCGCAATGGCGCTAAACCGCGTATATCAGCATCCTTTTAGAAGAGACCTTTAAATTACCATTTAGAGTATCTGTATGATAAAAAATAAAAAAATTTTATGCATTTCATAAAGTAAAGTTTTAATTTCAGAATTATAATAAAAAATTTCTTTTTCAGCAAAAAAAAAAAGAAGCAACAAAAAAAGTTTTCTCTTTCAGCAAAAAAAAAGAAAACAACAAAACTATATAAAATAAAGTTGTTCTTACCAGTTGGCATTGCGCCAAAAGACAGAAGAACAGCAAAAAAAAAATTAATATGTTCAGTAGCTGAATTAAGGCTGAACTGATTACAGAAATCCGTAAAACAATGTAATAAGAAAAATAAAAAAAAAATTTATTAGAAGAAAGATTTTAAAATTTATTACCGTTAACAATTTGAGGAAAAACTAATACATAATAACGAAACAGCTAATAATAACGAAATAACTAATAATAACAAGAATTAGAAATAACTAAGCAGGCCCCAAAAAAATTCTGAAGGAATGAGCGAAGGGGAAATAAGTTTCACTTTCACAATCTTTGAGGGTGGAATTTTAGTGGGTAGAATGCCCTCTCCTTCAATGGAAATAACCCAATGTGACTCAACTTAGAAAGAGANTTCGTCAGTCCCGTGAGTGTCGGATTTAGGGTCCTATACTTCCTTTTCTGTTCGCTCAAATTACAATTGCCAAGGCGCTAAATAGATTTCTAGCTTGCGATTTTTCCTTAAGCTGGGGGTGGATACAAGATGCATACCTTTTAAATTTTCTCCTTATGCGATGTTTCTTTAAAATTATTATTTCGTTTATTTATTTTCTTACAGGCTGCTGCCGAAAGTTTGCTAAGAATTGGCGATGTTCTGCAGCAGATCGTGATATAGGCGAATATTTTGTCGACTTCGTTATTAATTTTTTTTAATAGTCAGAAAATTATTTAATCTTAAATAACTTTCCTTGATGAATTTTTTTGCTACTAAAAAATATTTCGTCAGAAGCGCCGCTGCATCGGAAGCGCAGCAGGGTTGCCACTCAAATCTGGAAAAAAAATTCCCTGTGTTCTCCCTGTACATATTATGCACGATATATTAAGAGGAAACAACAATTACTGTGCTCTTGTGTGAGCTATATTGGGCTAACTATATTTATTAGTTTTAATTGCTGGAAAAACAGCTGAATATACTTAAATAATGCTATAGTAAATGAAATAGTTTAGTATAGCTGAAATATCATGGTTGAATATCCCATAGATTACACTTTAAGTGGTCACCATTTTTTAAAAGACAAAAATAAGAAACAAAATTCCCTGTATTTTCCCAGTTTGTAAAGAAAAAATCAAAATTCCCTGCATTTTCCCTGTTATTTTAGGTGATTTTTAAATTCCCTGTATTTTCCAGGTTTTCCCTGTGGAGTGGCAACCCTCATGTAGGAAAAAAATAACTTTTTTTTCGATAGCGCCGCGGCTCTTCCGCCGAAAAATACGGTACTCTTCCCTAACAGCAAAATGACTCTTAATTTGAATTTGCGTTTTACAAAATAGATCGATTTAAAATAAATTTCTATTTTGATTTGAAGTTTCCTATGGGAAAAAATTATTCTTAAGAAATTAAGATTTATCATCGGCTAAGATTTTCGAAATTTGGCTAAGACTTATGATATTTGACTAAGACTTATTTGGCTAATAATTTGAAGTCCTTAGTGCAGGCCCTGAGTAATGTGAACATAATTTAACTTTACTCTTACATATTTTAAGGATATTTACTACTTTGATTAACAAATGGGAAAATAAGGCTTTTTTTGCAGCAGTACCAAAAGATACACATGATTTTATTTAAAAATGCAGAAATGTACAAGAAACTATATTTTCATTACAATCATATTAGGGCTACTTTTTATTAAATCATATTTGGGCTACATACATAATGAGAACTCATACTCAATTTTAATTACTATAAACATTTATAGGCTAAAAAATAATTGTAAAATAGGTCTTAAATAATTCTGAGCTTGTAACTTCAAATTTTACTGCAATAATGTACATAAAGTTCACTTTGTATTAGACGTTTAACTGCAAAAAATGAGTATTAAACTACAGGAATTTTCGATTTGCAAAGAAAAATGATGTCTAACACTTTGTAATAAAAAGAGATATCATGTTTAAAGCAGTTAAATACTAGAATTCCAAAGAAAAGTTGCGTAATGTAGCAGAAATTCCATAAGAAAATTGAAAGCAATAGAAAATTTTAGACAAGAAAATTATGAATAATATAAAAATGACAACCAAAGCTGACGTTGTCAGGGGATACCAGCTCTGGAAATCATAAGAACACGACATTAGTATCCGAAGTGTACGACATTTGTTGTGCTCTTTCGATAGAAAAAGTTTCGTGTTTTAATAATTTCCAGAGCTAGTATCCCCTAACGACGTCAGCTTCAGTAGTCATTTTTATATTATTCATTATTTTTTTCTTTAAAATTTTCTATTGGTATGCACTGTGCATATCCAAAAATTACATTTTATACAATGAGAATAAATTTTATTTAACCAACGGTTAAAATATATAAATAATGGAATAAAAACTAAACAAATAATCATATGCAAGAATACTTAATCGATGGAACATATTCTAATAATCTAATACTTACTTCATCTGATAAAAGGGCAGCCATGGCTCTTCCGATTTCGTGGTATTTAATTCCTTCTCCTGTAGGTCCAAGAAGAACAAAAAGAAATCTAGTAGGAACTGGCACTTCAGTAAGATCACCAAGATGACAACTTTCATTCAGACGCACAAACGAAAACGTCGTTTTTTGAAGAAAATCTACTTCTCCAATTAATAAATTTGACGCCTCTGCTCCGGAAGGTATTTTCTTCATGAAAGCTTGATTGAGCTTAAAGAATACATCATTTTTTTTTTAAATTTTTGGACAGAAAGAAAATTGAAAAGTACAAATGCTATCTTTTACTATAATACCAGGTGTTTTATATTTAATTATTTTGTTGTTTCACATTTATGAACTATTAATAATTTTGACAAATTTAAAATTATGCAAAAAAACTTATGTAAAACCTAATTTATATAGAATACTTATGTATTAAAATATTAGCTTTAACTCCAATAACAAAAATCTTCTTACTTTGTGTTATTGCTTTGTAACAGAAAAATAAATAACAAATTTTTACATGTAATTAATTATTCTGTTACAATTAATTACAAACATTAGGATAATACCAGACGCCTCTTAAATGATAGACAATATGAAAAGAGATAGAAATGTATGTATAGGTATGTATATGCTAGTATGGGCTCCTTTATTTTGTTTAACATGTTTTTTTGTATCTTAAGAGTACTAGCTAACCTAATTTCAAAAAACATTCATTATAAAGTTTCTCAATATCGGACACCAATGTCTTAAAAATAAATAATTAAACTATAAGGCAAGATTTTCTACAGCACGAAAAGACAAATGTATAGTTTTCGAAGAGAGTAGTATTATTTTTATTTGTAATATATACTAATTTTTAAGCTTGGTGGGAAGAAATGTATGTTTTAAGCAGCAAATGTTTATATGTTTGAAACAGTTTGGACACCTAGTAATAAACTAAATTTATTTAAATAATTTAAAATTTCTTTCAAAAAGATTTAGTTTCAAGACTAAAAAATTAAGTGACAAAACCGAACATGTGAACCTCAGTTCAATTAGCTTTTCAATTAGTAGGGATAGATATTTTAAAAGTAGTAACAATTACAAAAGCTAACAAATTTGATACACATAACACTTAAATGATTAAATATCAGTGAAATAATTCATGCAAAGAGTCTTACTTTGTATAAACAATTTTCAGATGCAGATTCTTCAGGAGATGCTGTCTTAGCTTGAGACAAAGCTCGACAATATAAAGAAGTCGTAATAGTATCACAGAGCATTCCAGTGCTAGCAGATGCGGCATCTATTAATATGCTTGAATTAAAATTTCAAACTTACAGCAAAATACTCAATAAAATTAATAAATGTAACTATATTAGAAGGAATAAGATAATAAAAACATCCATACTATTTAAACAAATTAATCATGAAAATAAGATAGAAACTGATAAACTAAATTCCCAAAAAAATAATAACTTAAAAGATGATAAAAAATAGGGTTGAATGTGAACTATGACCATGCATGGAACTTAACAGAAAAACCATCAAATGGAGTCCAAATAATAAATGGGATTTGCAGTAGGAATGAGGATTGTGCAATCATAATGAATAAGAGTTAAGTTACCAGCAGTGGTCTTTTCCTCCACAACAGAGGTTGTATGTGGAGCAAAAGAAGTCCAAAATGATAGAACATCTAAAAACAGAAAAAAATTGAACATTTTGAAAGCACAATTCATAAATTACTAAATATTAATTAAAAACATTTTATAAGATTCTGAGAATATAAGAAATGTGCTACAAAAAAAATAATGGTTTGGTTAACAAAAGAGGGACTTATTGCAGCTGATTCCTTAAAATGCAAATGTTTAGAACTAATTACACTTAATTAATATAAGTTAATGTTACAATTAGGGCAGTGGAGTCAGTTGGAATCAAAAATAATTATGTAGGAGTAGGAAAAAATTTTTCAACTCTGACTAGTTAAAAGTTAGTCCTGTAGATTAAAAAAAAAAGGGGGGGGAAACATTCTGATATTTGTCAACTAATATTTGTCAATGTGATTATGTAAACAAAAATATTACTTGAATGGTAATTATGACAATTGTTTAGACAGCTATTTATAAGTATGATTATAAAAACAAAAATGCTACTTAAATGAATATTACGATAATTATTTAGGAATTTAATGTATGATTTGTAATAGTTTCCTAGGTTATGAATAGTCACTTAACAAAATTTTTGTTTAGATATGTTTTTTTAGGTATGATATATATATATATATA